GAAGTCGGACGCTTAACCAACTGAGCCACCCAGGCGCCCCTTTAGGACTGGTCTTAATAAAAATTTGTAAAACACTGACTTTTAGCTTAGGGCCTTTTTTCCTCTTTTGTTACGGTATACTTGTTGCCTTTAGATTGGCCAACCAGAGCCCTGCGCTGAGGCAGTACTCTTTCTGTCTTCCCAAATACCATAGTCGGCTCTCTGTGGATAGACTCTGGTATTGAGTACTTGTTTGTCTTTCTTCTGAAAGTACCTGCATTTCTCAGAGGATGATGCTTCTTAACATTAGAGTGCATGGCTATAGAAGATGGCTATAGAAGCAACGAAGATGGCCTTCATGCTTTTCAACTCACATATTCCTTAGGTAGTGATCTTGAAATACCCAACTGTGTTTATGTCAAACTTGCTTAATTGCAGAGAGTCAACTTTCAGGTGTCTTATTATAAATATAAAGCTGGTTATGCTGGTATAATGGAGAACAAGAGAAAGGGAAAACATATTTTTAAAGCCAATTAGAAACTTAGTACCATTGTAGAAAGTCAGAACTCACCTATGAAATAGATATAACAAGTAATATACTACTAGAAAATCAGATAAACTTGGATTACAAATTGGGGTACCTGTGTGGCTCAGTTGGTTAAGTGGCTGACTTTAGCTCAGGTCATGATCTCGCCATTCGTGGGTCTGAGCCCTGTATCAGGCTCTGTGCTGACAGCTCAGAGCCTGGAGCCTGGGATTCTATGTCTCCCTCTCTCTCTGCCTCTCCCCCACTCATACTCCATCTCTCTCTCTCTCTCTCAAAAACAAATAAACATAAAAAAATAGGGTTACAAACTTTCAGACTAAGCAAGATTAAGATGTATGAGGATAATAGACAGAATTACTTAGGTTCATTGATCATGTACTTTCTATCAGGCATTGTTCTTACTGTTAAGGATCCAGAGGTGGGTAAGACAAGATCCTGAGACTTAGTACACTGATAATTGATGAATACTTGCATAGACCTGCACAGTACCATACTGTTTTAATTACTATGGCTTTGTAATACAATTTGGGGGACTATATGGAAGAGGTATTTAGACAGGACTAGGTAGAGTCAGGTTGGGCTGACTTTTGAATGAAATTTTCTTTTGCAAGTCAGGTTGTTGAGGTATAATGTATATATAATAAAATTCACCCTTTTAAGGTATACAGTTCAGTAGGCTTGACAAATGTGTGAAGTCTAGTAACCACCACAATGAGTAATGCTGCTGTGAATATTTAAATATAGGCCTTTTTGTGGACATATGTTGCCATTTCTCTTGAGTAAATACCTAGGAATGGGATGTCTGGGTCTAGTGGTTAAGTGTGTGCTGAAATTTATAAGAAGCTGCCAAACTGTTTGCCATTCTGGTGGGTTTGAAGTGGTATCTTGTGATATCTCAAAACAGTAATGCAAAAATCCTACCTTGAGAAACTAGTAAAGAAGAGCAAAGCAAACCCAAAGCAAGCAAAGAAAGAAAATTTATAAGTATAAAATGAGAAAATCAATGAAAACTGAAAATAATCAATGAAACTTAAATACCAGTTCTTTGAAAAGCTAAGAATGGATAACTCTAGGCAGAGGGATTAAGAGTAGAAAGACAGAAATTACTGATACAAAGAATGAGGAAAGGATCATTAGACAGCCTATAAGCCTTTTACAAGAATAGAATAATACTGTGAAAATTTTTATATTAATAAATTTGAAATCTTATGTGAAACTGACACTCTTAGGAAAACAACCATCAAAGCTCACTCCAAAAGAAATAGATAACCTAAAAGCCCCATATCTAGGGTTAAGTAATAGAAGTTATATTTTAAACTTTCCCATGAAATCTTACCAATTCAGATGGGTTCATCACCCCACAAACATTGTAATAATGAATCACAACTTTGTTACACAAATCCTTCCAGAAAACAGAAAAAACTAAACACTTCCCAATCTATTTTACAAGACCAGCATTACTCTGTACTAAACCAGAAAGAACAATGCAAGAAAAGTACAGACCAATATCCCCCACGGACACAGATGAAGGAAGTCTTACCAAAAATATTAGCAAATATAATCCATTATGAAAATTTCGAACCTGATAAAGTGTTTACAAAATTTACAGCTAATATTATACTTTAATAGCAAAGTCGACTGAATACTTTTAGCCAACATCAGTAACAAAACAAGGATGTCCACTCTATCATATTTCTATTCAACATTACATTGTACTGGAAGTCTGAACCAATGAAATAAGACAAGAAAAAGAGAAAAATACATATCCATTAAGAAGAAATACAAACAATGTGTGTACAGATATGACTGCCTATAGGGAATTTAGATCTACCAAAAAACTACTAGACCTAATAAAATGAGTTTGTGTCAGAGAATTACGCTCCACACAGAAATGTTTGTATATTGAAGCAACAATAGCTGCAAATAGGAATAGCTTTTAAAGGAACAGCATCTAAACTAGCATTAAAAAACATGGAATCCACAGGCACAAATCTATCAAAAAATATGTGCAAGATCTGTATACTGAAAACTACAAGATGCTGATGAGGAAATAAGATTTAAATGCAGGATACCGTGTCCATAGATTGAAAATTGATATTAAGATGTGTCAATTCTTCCCAAATTTTCTTAGATTTTTGTAGACTGACAAATTAGTCCTAAAATACATATGTAAAAGCAAGATCTAGAATAGCCAGAACAACTCTGAAAAAAGATCAAAGTTGGAGGATGCATTAATTGAATTCATGATGTATAAACTACACTATTCAAGATCATGGTATTGCATAAAAGACAGACATGCAGATCAATAAAATACAATACAGTCCAGAAAACACCCATAAATGATTTTTAAACAATTCATTTCAACAAAGATAGCAAGGTAATTCAATAAGAGCTTCAACAGAGTACAGAACAAAATGTTCATCTATCTGCAAACAACAAACCTTACACTTAAATAAAAGTGAATTCAAAATGACTATATAAACATAAAACTTAAGACTGTAAAACTTCTAGAGAAAACTCCATAAGAGAAATCTTTGTGACCTGGATTAGGTGGGAGATGCCTTTGTGGAGAAACACAAGAAGAATGAAAACATTAAAGTAAAGCTAATATAGTAGACTTCATCAACGCTATAAGCTTCTGTTCAAGAATGGCACTAAAGAATGAAAGCCACAGGATCATAGAAAATAATTGAAAAATACAGACTTATAAAGAACCTGACTCATAATCCAGAATACATACAAATTCACTGAAGCTAAGAATCCTAAACAACCAAATAAAAAAGTGGGTGTAATCATTTTACAAAAAAAAGGGTAAGAGAAAGAGAGACTGATGACAAACA